CTTGGCTTTCCCTCGGGGGGGGGGGGGGATGCTCTGCCCCCCCCCCGAGATAATGCTGAAAGAAACCCTGCTCGATTGTGCAGTTGGCCCGCGAACTACTGTTTGATAGTTAATGTGGCCCTAGGGCTGAAAAGTTTGGAGACCCCTGCTTTAGACTATGGTGACAAATCATGAACTGGAAAATACGGGACACTCCCAAGGAGGGGTTGTTTTTTTTTTTTTGGGGGGGGGGGAATACCCTCCAGCTAAAGAGGGGTCCGGGGGCCTCTGTCGTAAACTTTTTATTGAAATTGAATATGCTCATTTTGAGACCTAGACATCTTTTTAAAATTTACCTTCACTTTCGTAATTTAATTTAATCTAGTTCCACTCTTTGGAATACTCCTACATAAACTTACATTGACGCTTGGGCATAATTCTTGTCTATATGAAAAGATAATATGAAATTAAAGAATAACGTTAAACACCCAAAACACATTACACGTAGCGTTACCGGAATTAAAATTTGCCCCTCCACCCTTCCCCTTCTCCCCTGGCTTCAAGTCTCGTGTTTTTCGCTACACATATACCATCTATCGCGGGGACAGTGTCGTTTACTCAGCGTCGGCAGAGTGGTGATGGGGAACAGTGCAGCAATCACGCGAGCCCACATCACTACTGGCACTGGCTATACAGCTAGCCAAAATATTACTTGAAGTTATATTATAAATTAGGAAGTTTTAGTGATTTGAAAATGTGTTTGGTTTTAGAAACGGGACATTTAGGCGTCCCGAGAGACTTTTTTGGGACACCGGGTATGATCGTGAAAAAACGGGACAATCCCCTACTTTAGGATGTCATTCAATTATTATTCAAAAGTTCAATTATCTTTCATTTGATTTTGATACCTCATTTTGTCTTACAAACCCAACAATAATATTTTAAATAGTTTTTTAATCCCAACCTCTTACTTCTGATAACCCGGGTGCGAATAGTCGCAGCCATCATTGAAAGAAAATGATATTTGTTCAACCCTTTTTAACTACTAAAGGGCCATCTATAACAGACGTCACATTATTTTGCCAGAATAAANGGTTGAGGTCATTTAAGGACCCCCCCCCCCCTTCCCAAATGGCCTAACCATGGTGACATGGCTAGGGTTCCTGTCGACTGGGGCGGGGCAGCTTTTTTGCCACCCTTCCACAAAAACAAACTTTTTAGTCCCCTGAAAATGCTACACATTGATTTAATAAAAAGAACAAAACTACCCCCCCCCCTTTTCAGACCCCTTTCCTACACAGGAACATTGACGCATAAGCATAGAGTTGCAAACATTTCGTAAAATTTAGGGACAGTCTGTAAAAATTCGACTAGTCCGTAAAAGTCCGTAAAAGTCTGTAAGAACGTTGGAATGTGCTTAACAAATGAGACACGTGGCACAATTTTTTGAAGCGAAAAAAACAAAACAACCCCGAGTTATGTCAAATTTGTAATACTTTTCTTAATGGCTTGAAACGATCATATTCTGGAGAAATTCAACAATTATACGAATTCTAAACAAAAAAATAACGTTAAAAAAGAACCGAGAAGTATTAGACAAACATACAAATCATTGAAACATAGTCCATAGGATATTTGAACTTTTTAAAAGCTTCTTAAGTTTATTATTTTTTTTTAATGTTTCAGTACAAAGTTACAAAATGGTCTCTTCCCACAAAATAGTGTGTGTGTGTGGGGGGGGGGGGTTGTCTGAGATTTTCGGTGTTTGGGCGGTGATGGGGAGGTATGTGAATATGAATTTTGCATGCTGCATACGTAAGAAATGTTTGGCCCTTCAACAACTTGTCTTAAACTTAAATTAAGTTAAATACAATTATATTATCGTTGTGTTGTTTCACTGCATTTAAAAAAAAAAATTAATTATGCTTTTGAATATTTTGAACTTTAAGTATAAGTATAAAATGCTAGCTTGCTATGAGTACTATCAGTGATTTAAAGTAGTGTAAGGGGTCGTTCGCAAATTACGTCAAGCAAAAAATTACCTTTTCAGACCCCTCTCCTTCATCACAAACTTTCACAAATCCCCCCACCGCCCTTTTTGGTGTCACGTCACACCTAAAAAAATTAAAACATACATACAATTTTCATAACTAAAATAAGATTTTATTTTATTTATTTCATTTTCCCATAATGGATTAAGATGTAGTATTGTTAGAAAACTGTGACGTAAAACAACGAACACCTACCCAAGCCGAATGTAACATGGCCACAACAGTTTTTGCGTCATTTTTCGTTATGCGCAGAAGGTGTGCGTGACTGAATTACACGGTATTTATAATAGTAATAATACCTATTTTGACCTCAAATTAATGTTTTTAAAATTAATTGAATAAAGATTTTTTCAAAATTATAAAATTTTAGATTTAACCCCCCCCCCCTTCCTCCCTGTCACAATGTGTCACAATTTCTCGACCCACTACCTCCTGAGCGTGACGTAATTTGCGAACGACACCCTAAGTGGTTCCCACGTGAACTTCTTAGGGGCTCCGTGACACCCCCCCCCCCAACACTATTCATAAATACCATTAACTTGTAAGACAGGGTAGGCCTAAGGGGCTCTCCCAAAGAAATTATTCTAGAAAGGGCTCCGCAAGTCAAAAAAGTTTTGGAACCACTGATTTAAACGTTAAATAGTAGAGTTATGTTGATCTGAACTTTTTTAAACTTAAGGACAAGAGAGGTAAGATTTGACATTTGTTTTAAATAAATAATATATTCTCATATTCCACTTAAGTCTACTTAGACTAAATGATGAATGTATTTTAAAATTTGGCCGGTTTTTTTTCAAGTCTGGCAATAATACAGTAGAATTTTTAGGTAAATTGGCAACTTAAGAAACCTTTTAAATCTAAATTCATATTTGTTATTTTGGCGAAGGGTACCGAGCTAAAGCCAAAACAGCTAACGCGCAAGTGGCTAAGTGGGGTAATAGTGAAAAGTTTAAAGAAGTACCGAAACGACTTACTAACTTAGTATTAATATTAGTAATTAGGTAATAGGTAAGTAAGTGTGGGTACTTTGAGAAAACTGAAAGTTAGTGAAATATCACAAGCTCATCACACATTTATTAATTAGTTCTGCGTAACTTGGCGTAAGCCTAGTTCTGTATGTCTTTTCATTTGTTTTTTTCTCCCTCAAATTTTAAAATGAAAATGCATGCAATTGTTTCACTTTTGTAGGGCGGTTAATCATACTTAATGATAATGAATTTATAAAAAAAATTTTGAAACTTTTAGTAGTTTTAAGGGCTGGAAGACCTAGTCTTAGTTTACTTACTTAGTGAGACTTATTCCTTGTGAAACAATTCGTAAAAGTAAGGTTTGGAGACACACTGCAGTCAGAAGAGTATGTATAGTATAGTCGATATAGTTCCAACGGCACCAGGGAGTAGTGCCAGATTTTAAATTTATTCATGATATTTCTTTGGGTAATCTACCACTTCAGCGTTGTTATAAAAAAATCTTGGTGTTATGGTTTTAAGTGCAATTTAAATGGTTATTCTTTTATTGATGTCCATTAATAGTACAGTGGAGACAGGGACACTGAGTTTTATGTGGCATAGAAATTAGAAAGAGAAAGGGGGTGTAGATTTAGATTCTCATTGAAGTCCCAGACAAACATTACAGGAGTGCATAGAAAGATATATCCTTCTTGCCTCACTTATTGTATCAGACGGATGGGCAGCTTATACAAACATAAACCAGATCAGACACAGAATCTACGAACACTACGTTGTTGTTCATCAAAAAAATTTTGTTAATCTAATCCAA